ACCATGCCCAAACTACTAACCCTACATTTTACATGATGAGTTCAGATTTTAAAAGGATTAGTTGGCTAATAAAGTGTCACGAGCAAAGCGAAAAATCAAAAGATTACTTGAACAATTTACATGATGATTCAAATTTAAAGCGACCTCAAAAAGCAAAATTTACTGTTTACAAATAACTGTATCATGGTTTATAAATTGGAACACATATATTATACATAATGGGTATAATATGAATGTGTTTTATCAATGGAAAGTACAAAACAGCTTGCTTGATCAAAGAGGAAGGAAAAGCTCACAGTGAACTTGGAAACATCTTTCAGCCCCCAGTCAAGCCTTTAGATGCCCACAGCCACTGCCGAACATGTTAATGGCAACTTCATGAGACCCTGGGCCAGAACTGCCCAGCTAAGTCTTGACCCCACAGAAAGAATGAAATTATTGTTCACTGTTTTATGCCTCTAAGTTTTGGTGTAATCTGTTACACAATAGATTCCGAGAACAGTACTATTACTATTTTTAAGAAAGGTATAATTGCAGTTCCAGAACCCACACTTCTGACATCTATTCTACTCCAACTACTGGTGCAGATATTTAACATCTGGCTTAGATTCTGAGTATTAGAGAAAGAAAAATTTACTAAGTATTCTTCCTGTATTACTCATTGTCTCTGAATAATACACCTAAGTGTACCCATTTTTTTCTTAAACTTTTCTTTTCCACTTCTTATTCCTCCTCCTACAAATAAAACGGATTCCTGAATCTCCTAAATTCGTAAGCCTTAAGTTTATTTTACATATTCATTTTGAGAAGATTTCTTAAGAGTAGTGATTATAATTTTCTTTTAAACTTGTCATGCATAAAATCCAGTGTGCTCAAGGTATTCAATAAATATTCCATTTTACTAATACAAGGGGTAAGCACATAATCAATCCTCAGCCTATGAACTAAAGATACTGTTTGGGATGACTTCTCTGACATAATCGACATATAAATTTCTCCCTATGACTTGCAGAAGCCACTTTCTGCCATGGTCAAACTTTGTCACACCCCATCCTTATAGCAAATGCCATTAACTTTGGGACCTTCGGAGTATACATAGCAGTATTCTTCTCCTTCCTGAATTCCACAAACATAATTAGCTGGTCACTTTAATCATACGTTATCATGTATTGTTTGCTAATAATCTCTTAGACATTATTTCTGTCAAAAGAAATAGCTGATAAATTCTCTAAGAAAATGTCATTTGTTTTGCTTTTCTCTCTCCCCACCAACCTTACAAATATATGCAAAAACCTAAGGTCAAAACTCGGTCCAAATTCCAGAAACCGCCTTTATTATGCTTTACGAGTAAGTCCTCTTCACTGTAGTTGCTGTGAAACTTAATAATTTAATTTCTTTAATGGAAAAGTATCAAAGCAGATGCCAAATCTGATGCAACTGACAAAGAAAGGAAACAAATCTTGCTTACTTTCACTGAAACTTTTTAAAGCCATCAGATGTCTGCACTTAAAATGTTTAATTCCTATGCCCATTACGAATAAAACAAAATTCTGAATTTCAACATGTTTGAAGCCTCAGAAGTTCTCACACATTCTTTTCTGAGGCTAGTGTGATGCAATAATTTTTAAAATGTCATTTTAAAAAATGGACCAAGCTGCAGGGAAGGGACCATGTCACACTTTCAGCATTCAAGCCTCAAGAGCTCCGGGAAGCGAAGGGCTCTTACACCGGTTAAGGACAGCAATGGTCTCCTCCGTCAAGACCCCCGGTACCCTACGCTTGGCCAGAAAAAGGCTAGGGGTGCGAAGCCTGGGCGGAGGGCTGGGGTCTAGGGGGATCTTGAAACAGCGCGAAGCCGGAGGGCGGCGCCAGGGCTCCTCGCAGACCCTAGGGCCGCGGGACAGTGCCAGCTCGTGGGTCACACGCACCCGGTAGGCTCCTGGCTCCCGCGTGCCTGACGTTCCAGCATGCCCTCCCACCCGCAACCGGACCCTCGAGACAGCAGACTCAGGTGGTCCCGTCTCCGGTCTCCCACCTCAGCAGGCAGTTCTGCGGCATCCACCCCGCCCCCTCCCCCGCCCACCCAGTCCCTCGCGGAGGCTCAGCCGTACCCACCCAGGGATCTCAGAGTTCAAACAAGCAGCAGCTCCAGGAGCAGCCCCGCCCCTCTCCTCCGCCCCTTGGTCGGCACCATAGAGATGTCGGCTGCCGGCCAGAGTGGCTTCAGACCCGAGCGTCGGCCGAGAGGATGCCGGGATACTGAGCAGCTCCAAATCGAAAGGAAGCGACGTTTGGGCGCTGTTTGGTGCAGTGGGTAGGTACCCCGAGTTTCTCCTCGCCCACCCTAGACCCCGACCCCCAAAAAAGAAACTTTTGGGTCGTCGGGATGAGAGGAGAGAGGTGCCTTGTTAGTTTTCTTTTGTCAAACCTTAGGATTCGTTTCTTAGTTTGGCCAGAGCCGTGCCACAAACGTTGCTGACTTCCCCACGTGGGGACAGAGAAGTGTCCTCCCGAATGCCAGGCGCACAGGCCTTACTGCGAGATGCTTGAGATAGGAGCCTTGCCCGTCGGGTCTCGAAAGTGCAGCGATACTGCTAACTTCCTTCCGTGAATCCCTTAAGGGCAACGGAGCTTTTCACCAAACTGAGGAACCGCGAGACCTCGCAGACCGGCTGCTCAGCGGTAGCACTTCACCGCCCCCTTGGGGATTTCTTGATAATTCTTTGCCACGATATGGGCAGATGTGGAGCTACTGTTTGTGGACCCCAGTTGCATAACTAGAACACTTAATCATGACGACTAAATCCTCAGGAATCGAAAAAGCAACTCCATACTGGGTAGTTTGACCCTAACTAAATCACGATCACAAGAGTTTGTTTACTGGACTGTGGCTAGGTCCCATCCGTCCCTGCCTCAGAGTGGTGGCTGCTCTCAGCACCGAGGAAGTACCAGCTGGACATTTGATTCTAGGAATCATGGGTCCAAAAGAAGAGGCCCAAGGAGGGACATTCTTCTTTCCCTTTTCTACCTACAATTTCTTAAATCAAGTGTCAGATGGAAAGCAAGTGCAGCAAGGGGTGGGATCATCGTAATTACACAGTTGAAGACCACAGAAAATGCTTCAGTCTCAAAGCAAACTCCTAGGCCACCCCTGAATTTCAGAGTTTCTTAATCATAGAACTCATTTCTTGTCACATTCTTGGTTCTTAGGCAATGAAAAAGACTCAACTGACGGGAAAATTAAACACATTTTAACCCCCACATACCCTAAAGAGAATTAAAAATATCTCTCAGCAAATGTAGTTATAATTTTGAGTGCTTTTAGCCATGTTAAGGACAATTTTTCTCCATTTGAATGCAGCAATAATTTCACATTACCCTTTCCAGCGTGGAACAAGTCTTACAGGCCTTATGGAGCTATTGAGGAACAACATAGATGGCTTCATGCAAACCCAAACAATGTAATAATAGTTCTTTTCTCTATAGTCAGTCTACCGCCTGGAGATGCTTATTCATTTCTTTTTTTTAAGACAGGGTCTCCCTCTGTCACCCAGGCTGGAGTTCAGTGGTGCAATCATAGCTCACTGCAGCCTTGACCTCCTGGGCTCAAGGGATTCTCTAGCCTCAGCCTCTGGAGTAGCTGGGACCACAGTCACATGCCATCTCTCAGGTAACTTTTAAGTTTTTTGTAGAGATGGGTATTTCGCTTTGTTGCCCAGACTGGTGTTGAAGTCCTGGGCTCAAGTGAACCCCCTTTGCTTGGCTTCTCAAAGTGTTGGGGTTATAGGTGTGAGCCACTGTGCCCAGCTTACTGATTCATTTATACAACACAAACTGAGTGCTCTCAGTGGGCTACAGAATGACTGGGGAGCTCAAGTTCTAGCGTAGGGTGTAAACTACAAGGAAACAAACAAGCTAGACAGATTGTAGTAAGTACTATAAAGGAAGTAAATAGGGTGATGTAATAGGCTTGGGAGAGGCTAACTTTAGTTAGTTATTAAGGGAGGCCCTTATGAGGAAGTGGTACTTGTTTGAGAACTGAAATGTGAAGGAATCCAGTGTCAGAGGAACTATGTAAAAAAGGCATTGTGCCCCTTTAACTTTGTGGCATTAACATTCCTGATCTACGGTTTTTTTCTCTCCATTTTTCTCCTTGTTTTCTCTGTTACTGCTTCCCTTTTATTTGAAGAGGCAGGTCTTTTATAGAAATCAGAAAATTAGAACATTTTCTGGTTGTGTTTGGTGTAATCTTTATATCTTTATAGATGTGTGGTTTTGTTCTTTCTTAATAGACAACTTTATCATAAACAGTACTTTTGGTGGGCTCATTTCTCTTAAACACTTTGCAGCATAAATCTTTTCCTGTGTTCAAAAGAAAGTATCTGGTTCATGAGACAGTTTAGATATAGTCTTTGATGAAGTGCTTGATTTTTAGTTTACAAAATGGCTTTGTCTCCGTTTTTGTTTTTGAGATATAGTTCTTGTCTCACAGCTCTATTGAAAAATACTTGGTGTAAAGGGACTAAATAGCAAGTGAACAAATACATAATTCTGCATATTAAAAAAAAAAAAGGCTGGGTGCAGTGGCTCATACCAGTAACCCTAGCACTTTGGGAAATGGAGGCAGGAGGATAGCTTTAAGTCAGGAATTCAAGATCAGCCTGGGCAAGATAGGGAGATTCCTGTCTCTACAAAAAATATTATTAAAAACAAAACAAAAAACTAGGTGTGGTGGTGCATAGCTGTGGTTCCAGCTACTTCGGAGGCTGAGGTGGGAGGATCCCTTGAGCCAACAAGTTCAAGGTTGCATTGAGCTATGATTGCACCACTGCACTGCAGCCTAGGTGACAGAGCAAGACCGTGTCTCAAACAACAAAAACAAAATGAAGAAAACCCTGAAGATTAATAGTGAATGTTCCACAAAATAAAAACAGCAATGATTTTATAACTTTATAAATTTTTTTCTTGTAAATCTGAAATAAGAATTAAATGTGAAACTGTTCAAAACTTCAAAATAGTTCTTTATTAATAAAATATAAATACATATTTTTTAAATGTACAAGTTAAATAAAAATACCTCCAAAGTTAAATGTCAATTCTTATACAATCATTGTGCAGGGTTAATACGTACAATATCTTGGCTCACTAGTAATTTTATACCAGTCTCACTTGAAACAACATCCCTAAATTTTAATAATATATTGTAATAATTTAATTTTTCACTTTTTTAGAGTTTGATAGAAGACAGTCAATATCCTGAAGGATTTCAGAGGTTTTTTTCAATGCTATTAATACTGTGTTTTCATTAACTTCATCTAGCAAGGTTTCTGAAGATCCTGGTTTATAATCATCAGAAGACTGTTCATTTTTCTTGTTAGAAATCTTGTTTAGGATACCACTATTCTCTAGTATCACTAAGTTGCTTAGTTAAGGAGACTTGCCCCACATTTTTCATTATATAAATATCTTTATATTCAGAAAGCATAGGCTTCATATTAAAATATCATAACTGGAAGACCTCTTGGATTCATAATAGAGTTGGAACTATAAAGCTTATCAAGTCTGCTCCTTGTAGATGAAGAAACTAGTTACAGTATAAGGGAGGGGGAAAGATAATAGAGTGTGTATATGTGTGTTTGGGTGGAGGTTTGATTGCAAGGAGGAAATAATGAAAATCTCAGTAACATTTCTTTTTCTTTTTTTTTTTTTTTTTTTTGAGATAGAGTCTTGCAGTATTGCCCAGGCTGGAGTGCAGTGGCACAATCTTGGCTTACTGCAACCTCCGCCTCCCAGGTTCAAGTGATCCTCCTGCCTTAGCCCCCCTAGTAGCTGGCATTACAGGCATGCACCACCATGCCCAGCTAAATTTTTGTATTTTTAATAGAGACGGAGTTTCGCCATGTTGGCCTGGCTGGTCTGGAACTCCTGACCTCAGGTGATCCACCTGCCTCGGCCTCCTAAAGTGCTGGGATTACAAGTGTGAGCCAGTGCGCCTGTCCAGTAACATTTCTTTATATGAAGAAATGATATGGGAATTTTTAAAAAAGTAGGGATGAAAGGATTATAAGGAATCTGTGTAGTATCTATTTTAATTTAAAAAGATTTAGAGTGAAAAGCCTGTTCACTACTTATTCAGAACTTATTATCTGAATAAGATTAGAGAAAAATCACAGGAGAAAACAAATTTAGATGAATTGGGTGAGAATGTACAGAATGAAAGGTTTCATTTTTTAAAAAAGAGGTCTTAGGCTGAGTGCAGTGGCTCACGCCTGTAATCCCAGCACTTTGGGAGGCCAAGGCGGGTGGATCACGAGGTCAAGAGATCAAGACCATCCTGGTTAACATGGTGAAACCCCGTCTCTACTAAAAATACAAAAAATTAGCTGGGCATGGTGGCGCATGCCTGTAGTTCCAGCTACTCAGGAAGCTGAGGGAAGAGAATTGCCTGAATCCAGGAGGCGGAGGTTGCGGTGAGCCGAAATCACGCCATTGCACTCCAGCCTGGGTAACAAGAGTGAAACTCCATCTCAAAAAAAAAAAAAAAAAGATCTTAAACAGCTATAATTTAGAATATAATTATGTAAGTGAAAAAGTCCCCAAAGGAGACCTTAACCCTAATTCGCTATTTTTTGCTCAATTTAAACTCAAAAGTATAAATGTTAACATGCTATACCTTCTATAGACAAGATACATCTGAAATTACAATCTTAAGTATTTGCTGACTCAATAAAGCTCAGGAATATATTAAGTATAGATTAATATTCACAAAGTACTGAAGTCATGAATTAAGCCTAGAATGAGAGAGTAATCATGTAGGACAGTGCATTCTGTTTAAAGGATACAGTTAAACTTCTGTATCTTTTCAAGTTCAGAAGCAACAGACCTGTGCAAGGAAAAAAAAGTTCATACAGTTGTCTGATTCTTTTATATTCATGATATTTCACATAAGCATACCTGACTTTTTTTTCATAAAGGTTAGAATTTTAAGCAGAAGAATTCTCTTTATATTACCTTTATGTAGCAACAGATAAACTTGACTCAACTGATAGAGTGCCTTTAACGTAAGTGAATAAAAGTCTATCCCTTGTAAATCCACTTCGAGGAATCTGTATACCAAATTTTGACATTTGAGGATAACGGGCCTTCCCGCTACTTCTTAGTACTAACCTGGCATACACTCTACTTTCCTCCCTTAAGTTTACTCAAACTTTTAAAAACCTATTAAAATCCCATTCCTGAGGCCAGGCATGGTGGCTCATGCCTGTAATCCCAGCACTTTGGGAGGCCAAGGTGGGCAGATCACCTGAGGTCAGGAGTTTGAGACCAGCCTGGTCAACATAGGGAAACCCATCTCTACTAAAAATATAAAAATTAGCCAGGCGTGGTGGCAGACACCTGTAATTCCAATTAATCAAGAGGCTGAGGCAGCAGAAATGCTTGAACCTGGGAGGCGGAGGTTGCAGTGAGCCAGGATTGCACCACTGCACTCCAGCCTGGGTGACAAGAGCAAAACTCCATCTCCAAAAAAAAAAAAAAAAAAAAAATCAATCCCATTCCTTCAGTGAAAGAAGTGTTCTCTCCTTCCTTGAATTCCTATAACATTATATTAATCACATATTTATTTTTAATATCTTCTCTTTAACAATTTAACTTCCTGCTCTTCCTACCTAGATTGTTTCTCTCAGAAGAAAGTATTTTTTATCTTTCTGTACTTCTGCATATATTAAGACCTCATTTATATGGAATTCTTTGGGAATGGATGGTATGGGAGATCCAAGTTTTTATATAGTTGAATTATGTGTCAAAACAACTATTTTTTATTAAATTCCTTTTGGAATAGACTACCTACTTATTTCATTGTTTTCTTAAGCTCAAAAGACTAACATGATGAACACTAGCTCTTACCATAGTCTATAGAAAGATACTGGGGCAACTGGTATGCAGTAGAGAGCTGAATATATACAGTTCCAGCAGAACCCCTAAGTGTGTGTACTTTTATCATTTTTCTTATCAAGTTAGAATGAAATACGAGCAATAGCAAACAACTAACTGTAACTTGACTAGCTCTCTGCAAAATTAATGTAGACACTGGTCTAAAACATTCAAGTCATTATAAAAATCTTCACACTTCATAGTAGGGTATGTGACTTGTCTGCTTTACTGGCTTTACTACAACAGATCACATGCACCTCCTTGTCAGCTTCTACTCTTTTCCCTTGTACTCCAGCCTATGGAGGGAGAATGAAAAGAAATATTTCATCCTTTTAAACATCTGTGGCAAAGAACATGGGTACAACATACTCCAACAGCCTGCTGATTCTTCATCGTTGCAAAATATCTTTTTTAACCAAAGACACGTTTTTCTGGTTGTAAGAAACGATACAACCCTTAATGTTGTTGCTCATGTAATGAACCAACTTCTTATGAAACATGTACTATTTGTTGACTAAAAAGTTGAATTAATAAGCTAATAATGAAGGGTGTGGTGGAAAAAATATTCGAATACAACTTAGGTATCTTTTTATTGTACAATCTTGTATTTTCCTTCAACCTACCCTCTTTGATAAGAAAAACCAAAGTGGAGACACCTGAGGCTTTACCAGTGGAATAGAGCTACTCCTCAGTTTCCTTCCTTTCCCTCTGGTGTTCCTAGTTGCTTTCACCCTTAGCTGCTATCACCAATCTCTACTTGTAGTTGTTCAGCTTTCATATAAAAAGCCTGATGATATTTTACAAATTGCCAGCTAGGCAATGGAGAAGTGACCAGTTTTGTAGACATGCACAATTTCCCTTCCATCACAATTGTGTTTTGCTAGTTACTTTACTTTAGCAACTTTTCTGTTTCCAAACAGGCTACAGCTAAAGGATAAGGGATCTGCAAAGCTGGATCCTTAGATACCTGAGATATTCAAATAACACTTACTGATCTGATTTCATTTCTTCTAAGAAATGACTTAGGAAAAGATAAAAAAAATTGGCTAATGTTTTCATTTTGTTTTACTACACTATGCTAGGTCACCTCACAAAACTTACTTTAAAAGCTTCCTAAATTGTTCCTGGTATCCTTGTCTTCCAATATATTCGGGTTAGACTCTCAGTGACACTAATCCTCTAATGACCTTTCTTCCTATCATTTTTCCATTTAGGACCTTCTAATTCCATTTTATTTATTATAAGATCTATTTATTTATTTATTATAACTTCTATTTAAGATCCATTCCTAGCCCTCAAAACCTACACTATACACTAATAGAGAGAGAGCATATGTTCCATAAAAACTATCTTCTATTTCCACAGACTAAAATATCTTTTTTTGCTTCTGCCCTTATTTTCTTCCTAAAATGTCTTAAGTTTTCCCTAAAAGTTGCTTTGAAGCCCAGTTCTAGTACCCTGCACACTGAAAAGCACACAAGAGGGACAAAAATACTTGCTTTATTTGATCTGCCAATTAATTTTGGGAAGTAACTAATATGACAAATTATTTAAAAATCAATTTTTTTCTGAAAACTTATGTTATTAAACATTTTATTTCCTTTAACATTACTAAAAATTTAAAAATCCCCTTTAAATTTTTCCATAAAGTTTTCAGGATGAATTTGTCCCATAAAAAGAGTCACTCATTTTTATGTTAAGTTTTCAGTGCAAAGTTTTCTTACCTTCAGATGAAATAGAATATGATGAAATGTAATAAATTAAATGTCTAATTAGAAATACATTTTCTTCAAGCTTAGCCTACCAAAAATACTTTAGGAGTTAATCATATTCAAAACTAAGAAAGTTTTTTTGGGAAAAAAGTCTCAGTTTACCGTTTGACACTTAAATTTTTTTAAAGTATTAGCTCTTCTAAAATAGTAAGTTTAAAACAAAAACACCAATTTTCTTGGAGAACACAAGATGACAGATGAATGGGGATCTCTCTGGACTATTCTGAAAAAAGTCTCAATTTACCACTTGACACTTTAATTTTTTTAAGTACTAGCTCTTCTAAGCAGATTAAGTTTAAAAGAAAAATACCAATTTTCTTGGAGAACAGCAGATGACGAATGAGTGAGCATCTCTCTGGGACTAGTCTGGGTCAGTCTCCTGCACCATGATGTTACTGTTGTCACATACCTAAAATGAATATGTTAAAAGAAATACTTGAAAAATGAACTTGAATACATTATAAAACTACACAAAAATGTAAAAATCATTAAGAAAATTTGGGGAAAAAAGCATAAAGAAAAAAATATTAAAGTGAAGCATTTACTGGACAATTTTCAAAATACTTTTCACTGGTCATAGAAAAGCCAAGTTTTTTCCGTTATTCATCAAGAGTAAAATAATTTACTTATATTTGTGATTAATAAGAATGACATTTAAGAAACAAAGGTGATATCTGGATTTCATTTAAAGTTCAATTCAAATGTTCTAATTCTTTTAGTTTTTCAAAGTAAAATGTGTTCATTAAATTTTATCAAAAAATGTCAACAGACAATAAAACTGATTATTTGCTTACTAAAATTTAAACCAAAAAACACCTGCTAATGCATACACACATATGCTTATACACCTGTATATGTGTAATTATATATAACTAAACAAGTATCAAGTTTAATAAAATGAATGATCTAAAACGATTGGCTAAATCAATAGAAATGAACATAATGAAACCTCGTCTCTATTAAAAATACAAAAAGTTAGCTGGGCGTGGTGGTATGCCTGTAGTCCCAGCTACTTAGGAAGCTGAGGCAGGAGAATTGCTTGAACCTGGGAGGCAGAGGTTGCAGTGAGCCAAGATTGTGCCACTGCACTCCAGCCTGGTGACAGAGTGAGATGCCATCAAAAAAGAAAAAAAAAAAGAAATATACACAATTTTAGTTATTCGTGGTTACAAACTTTATTTTAAATTGGTTAGAGGATTAGTTAATTGTTAACACAGATGACCTCTACAGCAAGTCAGTATGTCTGTAACACATTTCAGTTTGAAAAGTTACTTGAATACAAACGATATGATTAAAGCTGACTTCATCTATTTAGTTATGCTAAACAGCAGTACAACTATCAACTATGAAACTATTAAAATGCCTTCATTATTATCCACATGGAAAAACTAAAAATATATATAATATTTAAATAATGTTTATAGCTTCTTCTCTGTCAGTTAAAAGTAAAACATAAAAATAATTTTAAAAATTGCTTTTCAGTACCTTTCATATGGTCCAGGGTGTTCAAGTTGAATTAACTGATCTTGGCCATCAGGAAAAGTTAACTTACACCAACTTAAGTTAAGACCTTGATTTGCCTTAAGAAGCAAAGTGGAAATACAAGTTTATCAATTTGGAACTGAAAACAAAAACATAAACAACCTATTCTAACTTCATTAACTTTTTTTTTTTTTGAGATGGAGTTTCGCTCTTGTTACCCAGGCTGGAGTGCAATAGCGCGATCTGGGCTCACCGCAACCTCCGCCTCCTGGGTTCAGGCAATTCTCCTGCCTCAGCCTCCTGAGTAGCTGGGATTACAGGCACGCGCCACCGTGCCCAGCTAATTTTTTGTATTTTTAGTAGAGACGGGGTTTCACCACGTTGACCAGAATGGTCTCGATCTCTTGACCTCATGATCCACCCACCTCGGCCTCCCCTAACTTCATTAACTTTAAAAAATAAGTAGAGGAATCATTAAAGATGCAACAATTTAAATGCTGTTTTTACATGAGATATGGGTTTTATTTAACCACCACTCATATAGGTAATTATCAAAGCAAATGAAATATTAATTGCTCTCTCTATAATCAGTTATCTTTATAAAAATGACTATTTGTCAAATCATTCTAATTTTCGCTAGGAAATCCAAAGAGATCAGTGAAGCTTCTTGACAGATTTTATACTTCAAAAAATGAATGGAAATAGTGTGGTACTTTATTTTCTTTGTTCTATTTTCTATAGATAACCAATAAAAAATAGATTTCAGTCTGAAGTATACCCACCTGCTCCTTCTCAATAGAAGAGCTGAAATTCCAATTTAGGGTTAGAGTAATGCCATCTAAAAAGATAGCATGTACTTTGTCATCAGAGTAGGCAAGAAATCTTCCCATGCCAGGTATAAGTGTCTCTTTCAAAAGCAAAGGCAGTATATTGCTATCATTTATCCCAGGTACCTAAAACCAAGTAAATAAAAATAGCAGGAAATAGAGTTATCTATGAACAAGGTTTAAGTGAATATTAATGACTCTCAGGCAATTTTAGATTCTTATTCAGAAGTCAAATATTGTAAAATCCTTATATTTTAACTTTTCCATAAATGGATACTCAAAACAGTCTTTTTACAAGCAGATTCAGTTCTAATATCTTTGTAAAGTCACTGTTCTGCTCTGAACTTTACATCTGATAGAGACAAAAATTAGGAACCTATAAATTTGTCATTAAATTAATATAGATACAGAAATCAAAGTCTGAAAATCATTTCCTCCAAATCAGCATTAAGGAATTTATTTTCACAGTTATGAACACACAGAACACTATAATATGGTTTATAATGACTAATGTTTTTACATATTTCAAATCCAATGAGTTCCCCTATCCTTTTCTCTTCATCAAAAACAAAAACCATATACAATAAAACTGTAACATAAAATTCTGAACTTTCAGTATTTGTCTACTAGGTAAGTATTTTTCTGAATAAATCAATGTTACAAACAATTTCTCATATGACTTAGAGGAAAGCTGTTTGAATTCAGAAGTATGAATACAAACAATAGAACAATTTTGAAATATCTTGAGTTTCATTCTTTTTTTTGGGGGGGAGGGAAGGAGGACGGTAGGGAGGAAGGCAGGGATGAAGGAAGGAAGGGAGGGAGGGAGGAAGGGGGGAGGGAGGGAGGGAGGGAAGGGAAGGAAGGAAATCAAGCAATGAGAGAGACATTGCCGACCTGGATCTAGAGGTTTACACGTTGATTTCTTTTTTTTTTTTTTGAGAGAAGGAAAGAAAAAAAAAAATAAGGAGAGGAAGAAAGAGGAAGAGAAAGAGGGAGAGTAAATGGAAATATTGCTTTATTCTGAAAAAAATTGGGTATTAATAATGGCCAATCAATGTTTCATTTAAACCTATGGGTAGGTGTGATGTGGTATTGACAAGAATGTATATTTTGTGTATTTGAAGTGGAGAGCTCTATAAATATTTATTAAGTTTGCTTGTTCCAGATCTGAGTTCGAGTCCTTGATATCCTTATTAATTTTCTGTTTCATTGAATCTAAGTCTCTATGTATCTGGGTGTTAGGATCGTTAGCTCTTGTTGTTGCATTGATCCTTTTACCACTATATCTTTGTTGCTTTAAAATCTATTTTATCCGATACGAGAATTGCAACTCCTTTTTATTTATTTTTATTTATTTTTGCTCTCCATTTGGTTGGCAAATCTTTCTCCATCCCTTTGTTTTGAGTCTTTGTGTATCCTTGCATGTGAAACAGGTCTGGATGTAACCTGCCGTTGGGTTTTGGCTGTGTCTTTTGATTGGGGGATTTAGTCAATTTAAATTTAGGGTTACTGCCATTTGATGTTGACTGGCTGTTTTATCCATTCGTTGGTGTAAATTCTTCTTTATGTTGGTGCTCTTTATTTTTGGTGTATTTTTAGAAAGGCTAATACTGGTTGTTTCTTTCTGTGTGTAATGCTTCTTTCAGAAGCTCTTGTAAAGCTGGCCTGGTGGTAATAAAATCTCTGAGTTCTTGCTTGTTCATAAAAGATTTTATTTTTCCTTCAGTTGTGAAGCTTAGTTTGGCTGGATATGAAATTCTGGGCTGAAGGTTCTGTTCTTTGAGGATGTTGAATATTGGCCCCCACTCTCTTCTGGCTTGTAGAGTTTCTGCTGAGAGATCTGCTGTAAGTGATAAGCTTGCCTTTGTGGGTAACCTGACCTTTCTCTCTGGCTGCCCTTAGTATTTTCTCCTTCATTTCAACCCTGGTGAATCTAACGATTATGTGCCTTGGGGTTGCTCTTCTTGAGGAATATCTTTGTGGTGTTCTCTGTATTACCTGGGGTTGAATGTTGACCTGCTTTGCTAGTTTAGGAAAATTTTCCTGAATAATATCCTGAAGGGTATTTTCCAGCTTGGATTCATTCTCTCCGTCGCATTCAGGTACACCTATCAAACGTAAATTTGGTCTTTTCACATAGTCCCACATTTCTTGGAGACTTTGCTCATTCCTTTTTATCCTTTTTTCTCTAATCTTTTCTTCACTTTTTATTTCATTAAGTTGGACTTTGACCTCTGATATCCCTTCTTCTGCTTGAACAATTCGAGTGTTTAAACCTGTGCATACTTCTCGGAGTTCCCGTATTGTATTCTTCAGTTCCATTAATTCACTCATACTCCTCTCTAAGTTGTCTATTCTCAATAGGATTTCATCAAACCTTTTTTCAAAGTTCCTAGTTTCTTTACATTGGGCTACAACATGTTCTTTTAACTCACTGAAGTTTGTTATTATCCATTCCTTGAAGAGTGATTCTGTCATCAGGATGCGCTCGTTCTCCATCAAGCCTTGTTCCATTGTTGATGTGGAACTGTGATCATCTTTAGAGGAAGAGGTGTTCTGACTTTGAGTATTCTCAGCTTTTTTACGCTGGTTTCTTCCTGTCATTGTAAATTTATCCTCCTGCCGTCTTTGAAATTACCAACTTTCAGATTAGGTCTCTTGAGTGGGCATCCAGGTTGTTAGTTCCCAGGGCCAGAGCAGTGGAGTTATAACTGATGGTGCTTTTCTTTCCAGGATTCTCCTGTCTGGCTTCCTTCTTGTGTCCGTAATAGGTGACTCTGCCTTCTCGGGGCTCCAAACCTCGGTCAGAAGGGAAACCGGTCCCGTTTACTCTGTGCCGAGCACTGCCGCACCGAGGTGCCCTCACAGCCGCTGCGCCGGGTTCTGGTGTCGTGCTGGGGGCCCTTGTGGGTCCTCCAACCCTGTTTACTCTGCTCCGAGAGCTGCCACGCCGAGGTGCCGGTGGAACCACTGCGCCGGCCACGAGAGTCACGCTGGCCACCCGTGTGTTTCCTCCACTGGGGGATCTTCTGCTCTGTGAGCGACCAGAATTTGTCTGAAAGTGTGGCGTCCTCTAGTTCTCTGCGCCTTCCCTGAGAGCTGCAATCCCGGGATGTTAGCGATTGGCCATCTTGGATCCGTTCCCCTCTTGAGTTTCATTCTTGTTGCCCAGGCTGGAGTAAAATGAAGCAATCTCAGCTTACCACAACCTTTGCCTCCCAGGTTCAAGCAATTCTCCTGCCTCAGCCTTCCAAGTAGCTGGGATTACAGGCATGTGCTAATTTTGTATTTTTAGTAGAGACGGGGTTTCTCCATCTTTGTCACGCTAGTCTTGAACTCCTGACCTAAGGTGATCTGCCTGCCTTAGCCTCCCAAAGTGTTGAGATTACAGGTGTGAGCCACCATGCCTGGCCAATCTCTTGCTTTTAAAATTATTTTAACATACCATTTTCCAGCAGCATATACGATAGTTATGGCTTAAAGAAAGTCTCATCATCACACAATGTTGAAGAATTCTGTGAACATGAAAAATACTACTTAAACATTTGCAAATGATATTTTCCAATTCTAGCAACCCATTTTCACTGCCGTAAAACATTTGATATGATCAGTAAATCATTTCCACTGAAATGTGTTGGGAACTCTTTCTTCCAGAAATCCTTAAGCCCCTAGAAGGGAACTACTGTGCTAATCTTACCTATGGTAAGGCTATTCTCTAATATTTAGCAATGAAATGATTCCATGGACAGAATTTTCAGGAATTTAAAAGGTGATGCATTCACAGTGCCTGGAAGGTTTCACATAGCCTAAAAATGGTAGGGATGTAAATCAACTATCCCTAGGAAATCAAATTAGAAAATATGCTTCTTCAAATCTATTTTGGAAATTTTGTACATAAATTTACAAAAAGAAATAATGTAATACAACAATCCACTTGCATTATTCTGGGTGCCACAGACTGAGAGAATTTTAAAAATACATGAACCAAAGAACCAACCTATGCTTAATCACTACTATACTCTCAGATATCTATTACTCTGAAGATAATAAAGAAGTATAAACATTTTAAATGTATCATCAAATCTCCAACTTGATTTCAAGGAACAATAACAATGCCATACTTATCCAGAGAAAGGGCACTTACTTCCTCTCGGCACTTGCTCACCATATATGGATATTTCTCCATATTTAAATTACAAAGCCAGAAGTACTCTTAATAAATGACATAAAAATTACCTTATTTTATAAATACGAGACCAAAAATGTTGACAAATTTTACCAAAGCATATATTTCCATTCTACCTGCCAATTCTTAATCTTACCCTTAACCACAAGAAAATGTGCCAAAATGTTTAGATACATAACATTTGATTCAATTGAATAGGAAGAACTTACCTTGTTGCCTGTTTAATTAGAGAACAGACAGAGAACAGACTTCCTGGTCTGTCTGGAGGAAGGTTATTTACTGAGTAAGTTTTCTCTTCTTTCTGAAAATTAGTTAAAATGAAAAATCTCATTAATAATAAATTTTGGCCTTTATTACTTAGCTGTTTTTCCTTGAAATGTTTTTACAATAGTGACAAAATGAATAGTTATTTTAACAAACTAAAGCCCATAAAACCTGTATGTATGTAGGGGTATGCGTGTGTGTGTGTGTGTGTGTGTGTGTTTGAGACAGTCTCATGCTGTTGCTCAGGCTGGACTGCAGTGGCATGATCTTAGCTCACTGCATCCTCCGCCTCCCAGGTCAAGCAATTCTCCTGCCTCAGCCTTCCGAGTAGCTGGGATTGCAGGCATGTGCTGCCACACCTGGCTAATTTTTGTATTTTTAGTAGAGACAGGGTTTCACCATGTTGGCCAGGATGGTCTTGATCTCCTGACCTTGTGATCTGACCATCTCAGCCTCCCAAAGTGCTGGGATTACAGGCGTGAGCTGCCGCGTCCAGCAAAATCTGTGTATCTTTTTTTTTTTTCTTTTTTGAGACGGAGTTTCGCTCTTGTTACCCAGGCTGGAGTGCAATGGCGCGATCTCGGCTCACTGCTACCTCCGCCTCCTGGGTTCAGGCAATTCTCCTGCCTCAGCCTCCTGAGTAGCTGGGATTACAGGCACATGCCACCATGCCCAGCTAATTTTTTTTTTTGTATTTTAGTAGAGACGGGGTTTCACCATGTTGACCAGGTTGGTCTCGATCTCTCGACCTCGTGATCCACCCGCCTTGGCCTCCCAAAGTGCTGGGATTACAGGCTTGAGCCACCGCACCCGGCCCAAAATCTGTATATCTTTAAAGTTATTTTATGAAGCTTTTTCATTTTCCCAGTTTAAAAAAATATAGAATTACTCCCATTCATTCAAAAGTTATATATATATATCTTGAAATTAAATATATATATATAGATTTTTTTATTTTTTTGAGACAGGGTCTTATTCTGTCTCCCAGGCTGGAGTACAGTGGTGCGATTACAGCTCACTGCAGCCTCTGGCTCAAGCATTCCTCCCTCCTCAGCATCCTGAGTAGCTGGGACCACAGGCACATGCCACAATGACCAGCTAATTTTTTAAGTTTTTTGTATAGGTGAGGTCTTACTATATTACTCAGGCTGGTCTCAAACTCCTGGGCTCAAGGATCCCAAAGTGCTGAGATTACAGGCATGAGCCACTGTGCCTGGCCCAAAAATTATATTCTAATAACTTATAACTTATTGCCCAATTTAAATATTAGGCATATTTACATGCTAACCAAACTAATTTTCCTACACATTAGCAGGAAATTTATCACAAGCCACCCCTTTCCCTTAACACAAAAAGAAATAGCTATGCGGATTTGAAAAAAAACATTTTAATTGAATGAATATACCATTTTGCTACATTAATGGAAGAACTATTGCTATAGTTTGTGGAAGTAAAAATTATTATGGGCTGAGATTATTGAAATTTGAAAAAAAATTTTTTTTAATTCTTTCTGAATTTCCTCTTCTTTAGACTTGCTAGTGTTTCCCAGGACTCTGTCTCCAACCTTCTCTTCTGACTTCTTGATTTCTTTCTAGGTAATCCCGAAAGAGTCCAAAACTGTGTTCACATTAAATTACATAATAGCAACAGCTAACATTTATGGAGCAGACACTATGTGCTAGGCACTATCCTACCTACTTTACATGGATTATCTCATTTATTCCTCAAAATAATTCTGAAATAACTATTGATGCTTGTGTTTTAGATGAGAAAATTGAGACTGAGGGCTAAGAGACAGGAGAGATCTGATTTAAATCACCAAAAGAGTGCAGCTTATACTCTTTACCCTTAGGGGAAGAAGATGGTCTTCAAAGTCAGACAGATGTGGATTCAAATCACAGGACTGCCTCTTAACAACTGTAATTATGGACAGGCTATACAACCTTTTGTAAGCCTCAGTGCCTGCAGCCTGTGAAATGGAGATACTGCCTACCATCCAGATTGATCTGAGGATTAATGATATAATACACATATAAAGTACCTGGGGCAGAATTTAGCATGTAATAGGTACCAAACAAAAGTCTCTGTCCTTTTATCCTGGTCTATAGATCTGGTTATCTAAATCTCTATTGGGCTTCTCTTTTGGATATCACAATAGACATCTCAACATAACCAAGTTAAAACTCGAATTAGCCTCATTTCACAATTTTCACTTTCACTTTCTCTATGCTGTATTTACCTTTGGTATATTATTTAATCATATGTTGTTCCCTCTACCTGAAACTCAGTTCCCTCTTCCAGCACCTTCCTTTGCCTGGCTAACACCTATTTTTCCTTCAGTCTCAGGGAAGCCATTGCAGAGGTTCCATAGACTAGGAGAAATCCCCTAGTTATGCCCACAAGCACAGTTCCCTCTAATCTTGCCTCTTGGTCCTAATTACAATTTCAGTTTAATAATTTTTTACTTAATGTCTGTTTTCCCTGTTAGAATGAAGCTCCATGAGGGAAGGGGCTGTGTCTGTTTTGCTCATGTCTGTATCTTCACCATTTATTAGAATTTGCTATTCATAAACTGTTCTAAGAACCAGCAACAATAAATTAGTGCTTAGCACATGGGAGGCACTCTAAATACCATATTTTAATTATTTATGTCTTCCTTACTGGATATTGAGTTCCTTCTGGGTTCTTATTTCCATAACCCTATTTCATTAAGTCTAAAATGCTTATTTTTACAATTTAACCTCTCTGAACTCTGGATCCATCTTACAATTAAAAGTGAGTGTCTTATAATCTATTAGGCAGGTGGGGTTGAGATCTAGTTGAATTTTAATCATCTCAAATTCTTCTTTAATTGACATCTCATGGTAAGCTCAAAAGAAAAAAAAAGCCAGCATCAAAAAAATTTAGATTTGATAAAAATTTTGGTTTCACACATTACCTGGTACCACCATTCACTGATTTATTAATAATTTGGCATCCCTTTGAACTCCTTCCTCATCCTCAATGTCTAGTCAGGAATCAGTTCTAACTCCTTAATATTTCTTGTGTCTCCTTAATATTTATTTCCATTTTCCCTACTACTTCCTGGCCTTCACTTGAACTACTATACATGTGTTCTAACTGGTTCTACAGCTTCAAGTTTCACCTCCTTCCCACCCAGGTCATCTTCCTCTGAAATGATCTAACATAAGTTTGATGATGTCACTTGCCTACTTGAAGTCCTTCACTGGTTCCTCAAATGCAGTGAGGTTTCTCAGCTCCAGTTATGAGCTGGCCAACTTAGTGATCTGGCCTCTTCTTTGGACATGCCCCCCAGCATCCCATCTATGTTTTGATCTACAAAACTACAACATTTTCACTTCCTTCAACACTCCACACTCACCCCAGGCTCTTGTGTCCAGTTAGGTGCTATTCATAAACTGTTCTAAGAACCAGCAACAATAATGTGTTGAATAAGATAGGGTTTAACTCTAGTGTGGCTGACAGTGAACAAACATACATCAATAAGAAATGTCACCCAGTATTCAGTGCTATGAAGAAAAGTGAGGATGTCATGATAGGGAGTGTCATGGGTAGCTCCTTTAATGTGAATAGTCAGGAAAAGCTTCTGTGAGGAGATGACGTTTAGATAGAAATCTGGGTGACAAGAACCCAGCCATACAAAGAGAAAGTAAATTGTTCCCTTAGCTATATGCTCCTCCTACCTCCATCTGTCTTTTGTAGGACTCCTCCTTTGGAATTATAGATCCTAGCTTAGCCAAGTTTTCCTTCAGGAATTGTTTGTTTCTGGAACCTCAAACACTGGGTCAGGTGCCCTTTATTATGACATCCCAAAGCACCAAGTTCTTTTTTTTTTTTTTTTAGATAGAGTTTTGCTCTTGTTGCCCAGGCTGAAGTGCAATGGCACAATCTTGGCTCACTGCAACCTCCACTTCCTGGGTTCAAGTGATTCTCCTGCCTCAGCCTCCCAAGTAGCTGGGATTATAGGCATGGGCCACCAAGCCCGGCTAATTTTTGAATTTTTAGTAGAGATGGGGTTTCTCCATGTTGGTCAGGCTTGTTTCGAACTTGTGATCTGCCTGCCTCAGCCTCCCAAAGATTACAGGCATGAGCCACTGCACCTGGCCTCCAAGTTCTTTTCTCTGTTGAAGCACTTACACTGTATCTGCCAATCTTCCTATTTCAATTTTTATTTACACAATGAATATTACTATGCTTTTCTTGTTAAAAAAAAAAAAAGTTTAAAAAGTATGAAAATTAGTCCTGGCTGCTCCTCCCTCACAAAATCCCATACTCCTTCCCAAATGTTAACTACTTCAGTGTGTATTTGCCCAGATCCTTTCTTGTGCTTGTGCCTGTGTGTTACAGAAAGTACTATATAGGTATGGGGTTTATTTTTTGTTCTTTACACAAAAGATATCACTGTACATGTTCTGGCACAACTTCCTTTTTTCACTCAACAATATCTTTGAGATCTTCCAGAATCTATTTCTCTATGCATCCACAGCTTCCTCATTCTTTTCTTTCTTTCCTTCCCTCCCTCCCTTCCTTCCTTCCCTTCCTTCCTTTCCTTCCTTCCTCCCTCCTTTCTTTTTCCTTTCTCTCTCTCTCTCTTTCTTTCTTTCTTTGAGATGGAGTCTCACTTTGTCACCCAGGCTGTAGTGCACTGGCTGGAGTTCAGTGGAACAATCTCAGCAGACTGCAACCTCTGCACCCCAGGTTCAAGCGATTCTCCTGCCTCAGCCTCCTGAGTAGCTGGGATTACAGGCACCTGCCACCTCACCCAGCTCATTTTGTTTTTAGTAGCTCCAGGAAGATATACTCCTTTTATCTTTCAATTCTACAAACCCTCTGATATATAGCAGCCAGCAATGTGACTATGCATACCTACTCTTGCTTGCTCACTTGACTGTCTGATGCACTATATACACACACATACCCATATATACATATACATGTTACTGGGCACACTTGTATCTCATTTACTTGTTTGTCTCTCTGACTGAACACAAGACTGTGAACCCTTGAGGGCAGGCACTCTTCTTCATCTTCATCCCTCCCAGTGCTTACCAGAGTGCCTGCCAAAGCGTTACTGTTCAATTAATATTTATTTACTAAATACTTTCCTAGAAATAGACCCCAGTTGGGAATCTGTTCCATTATATACTGAAGTATTTATGAATAAAACAATATTCAGTTTACTTAAACAGGGCATGGAGGGGGCAATAGGAAGTAGAAATGAACAAGATGGATGATGGGTACTTAGTGGTCCATTATATTTGTCTACTTTTGTATATGTTTGAAATTTCCAAAGTTAAAAAAAATCTCAATTTTTAACTCCACTCCCTAAGGATTCTGATAATCTGATTAGCATTTAAATATTCCACTCTGTAATGAAGAGAAAAAACATACTTATTTTGTTCTAGCATGCAAAGCAGTGTGATACTACAGTGATTGCTATGAAACGGTGGATATAAAATATCAGAGTGATTTGGGAGGCCGAGGTGGGTGGATCATGAGGTCAAGAGATCGAGACCATCCTGGTTAACATGGTGAAACCCCATCTCTACTAAAAATACAAAAAATTAGCTGGCCATGGTGGTGCGTGCCTGTAATCCCAGCTACTCAGGAGGCTGAGGCAGGAGAATTGCCTGAACCCAGGAGGCGGAGGTTGCGGTGAGCCGAGATCGCGCCATTGCACTCCAGCCTAGGTAACAAGAGCGAAACTCCGTCTCAATAAAAAAAAAAAAAAAAATCAGAGTGGTAATAAGCAAATTAAAACTCATTAACAAAATATTGACATCATTAAGACTATGGTCTAGTAATTATACCATGTTACATTTCACTGTTTTCAATAACAGAGAACAATCTTGTTCAACTGTCTGGTTATATATAAAGATTTAGAAGTAAAAAGGTGCTTAAAATACACAAACAATTATATGGTGGGGAAAAAGAATGTGCTTTTGCTTTTTAATGCACAAATATTAATTCAAAGTAGTATATTAACTCAAAGTAATGCTCCTGGTTTCAGTATTGTCCATTTGATAAAGTCTATGACAAAACAAAGTTTCTGATTTAAACATAAATTGGTAAGGCAAATGGATATAGCAGGTGAAAATACAGCAAAAACAAGGTGGTTAATGATTACTGTGCCAATGCCAGCAGTAAGAGTATATTAATTCTCCAGATGAGAGTAGGAAGCAGTGTTATATAATAACCAAATTTCCCATATATATTTGGAATTATTTAGAAAGAGCTATACACCAAAAATCTTCTTGAGTTCATTGTTGGCTTACCTCATCTGATCCTTCTTGAATGGAATAATATGTAAAGTAATTCCCAAAATAAGCCCCTTCTGATCTGAAAACAGATCCATCTCCAGGATAAATCTCTATTGAGTTCATATTTTGATGGGTAAGTCTAAGAAAGAGAAATAAACCATTAAAATATTTTTCCACTTGAGATTAAAACATGCATGAAGACAGTCATCAAAAAACAATAAAAACAAAACCCAAGCAAAGCAGCACAGTCTTTTTGCCTGTCCAGTGAAGCAGATAATTTCATATTCTGAACCCAACCAGCTAAATTAACTCTTTCACAAAAAGATAAATGGAATTGGTTTATGCATTTATTTCAACAACTAAACTCGGAGCTTCTGGAATTCAGGCATTCTGTCTTATCTGATATCCCCACTGCCAATCATAAGGATGGCATAAAAAAGTCACCAAAGCAACGTCTATTGCAAAGGAGTTAAATACAACATTTCCAGAGCTTGAAAACAGATTAATGAAACTAGTGGAATCAATACTTTATGGATTAGATTAGTCATCAGTACAAGGGGCTATCCCTAAGAAAAGGTAGCTGTACCTGGAGCAGCCAGGTACAATCAAGGCATTGGGTATATACCACATAGAAACTTAAGTCAAGGTAATTTTATTAACAAACATGTTAGCATATGTTATCAGAAGGAATAGGTCTTCACATAGGAAAAGGAGAGCCCATTCACTCTCCAAAAATTTAGCAGTGCTCTTCTGGTATTATTCATGGAAGTGAAACTCAATGTGGCTAACACTAGTATTCTAGTCAGTAGAAGGGTATCCTTTGTTGTGGGGGAGGGATAATTCAGTGGAATAGTGCTGGCAGAGCAGCCACTAACAAATATTTGCTTTGTGAATGAAGGCCAAAATCTCCCTTAGGTGATCTAACTTCTCTAATATTGTAATCCAGGGAGCATACTTAGCTCCCTCCCAGTTCTGAAGAGGTTCTATCCTCGCTAACCTAGAAGAATGGGGAAAGGGGCCCTGAAGGTGAGGTGAGTTTGCCTTTTGTGGACCCAGAGTTTTTGCAGAAAAGCCATTTATTAGACGAGAGAGACAGAGAGAAAAACAGCTCCCATGCTATTGTGGGAGGGGACCCAGAGAAGGAATCTGTTTGGTAAGGAGCAGCTGAATTTTAACCCTTGTTATTCTCCCCCCCATTCATGTTCTCATCCAATGAGAGGAGTTCCTTCAAACTTTCTCTGGAGTGATTGATCTTTGACTCTGATACCGGATTGGCTACTTGGTCCACAAGTCTGAGCCCCCTCCTCCCAGAGCTTTCAGCGGTTTTTGCGGGGGACAAAGGAGCCCACCTGGCTTTCCCCACCTAGATCCGGTGGAAACCCAGACAAAGAACTTTACATTTGAAACCCCTCTGGTTCCCAGATGGAGTCGTGGAGCCCAGGAAACTCCTGCTTTGAAACCACACCCCTTGTGGATGGGAAGAGAAGTTCCTCAATACCATGCTCAAGCAATCCTGTTTTGACTAATTCAAACAACTTGATCCTCCAGTGCTTGGAAGGGGTGACCTAAATAACTGATATAAATATTACTTTCACTAGCAAAACTGATCCCTCACTGGCTTTGGAGGTACCACATATAAAAATAGTTAATGTGAGTGAGTCACAAGACCCCCGTGTGCACTAATAACATTAGTTTTGAGACTTGTAAAATTCAGGACCAAACACAGGAGCACAGTTGGTCCAGCAGAACTGTGTTCTCTTCTGAGAGTCTGTCTACAGCTAGTCCCATCTTCTCTGTGACATCAATAAACAGCTCTAAGTCCAACACAGGAGCCAACACTGGTGACTTACCTATATGTAACACCTTTGTACCAAACCATTTTCACTAGTTCAGGATAGGAATATTCATCAGATTGTTTCTGTAAAAGTGAATCACAAAAATTCCACCTGTGAAGGATAAAATACAAGCTATTTTTGCTGGTTGCTCAATATAATTGGATTTAGAAGTTAACAAAATAGTGCTACCGTAACAAGATTAATTTCTTGTTTAACTCACTAGATCAAATAATAAAAATATGAAGGTATATTAATGAAACATAAAAGCAAATCTTTTTCCATGTAATTTTTTTAGTATTTTCAATAATCTCATTATTGAATCTCTGCACAATAACATAAATTAACAGTTTTACTAACATTTAAACTTTAGTCTGGATTAAAACGAAAAAATACTAACACATCTATGGTGGGCCAAGCACTGTGCTATACGCACTGTGGATATAACAACCAAAGAAAGCAGATATGGTCCCTGCCCTCAATGATGATTCCTCCAGCAAGGACGTTAAATAGTAAACATTGAATGTAAAGAAAAGGGAAGTACTGTATGCTATGGAATTATATAGGACTTAACTTGTTTAGGGTAGTCAGGAAAACCACCCTGAAGAAGTTAGGTTTAAGCTGAAACCAGGAAATGAGCACGAGTTAGCTAGTTGAGAGAAAGAGAGAGTGCTCCTGCAAGTAAAGAGTAGGCGAAGTGGTCAAAGAGAGCTTGAACAAGAATTTCAGAGATTGCTAACGTCCAGCTTATTAAGAATAGAGAAAGCAAGGGCAAGACTAGTGATAGAGTTGAGGATTACAGATATAGGAAGGAACTAGATCACAAAAGACCTCGTAAGCTATGTTAAGGATAATGGATTTCAACCTAAACATAGTGGTTATTGAAAAATTATTAACTTTGAAGCATAAATCCCTTCTGATGTGTACTCATAATACTCAATTTTCTCATTTTAACCAGATAATTATGACAAGCTAATAGCCCATATTTTTGTTTTAAATGACAAATGTATACTCAGAGATTGCCTGGGATCAAATCTCAATTTTACAAGTATTAGCTGTGTGCCTTTGCTCAAGTTATTTAACATTTCTGTGTCTCAAGTTCCTCTACAATATAGGGATGATATCTTTTTAACTTCATGGGATTACTTTGAGAATCAAACAGGTAAAGTCCAACAGTTCCCGGCACCTGTTTTGTGTTAGTTATTATCATTATTACTGCACTATTTATTCGAAGTTCATGTTACAAATCTATAATCCTTAGTGGAGGACGAAGCTTTATACCTAGCCATCCAGAAGCTTCTCCATGTGTACCCCTTTTGAGAAGAGACATATTAGTCAGTGAACCAAAGACAGGGGTAGCCTCTGAAGCTAGGTATGGACAAAAGAACTGTGTCAGATCCACACTCCAGCAAGCAAGGTCACAGGCTCCAGTGAGCAGCAGCAGGTGCTCCCCTGTGCCCACAGAGCCCTGTGCAGACACCTGTCCCATCATTTAGCATACTTTAATAATCTTTTTAAGTACAGCAACCTTCACTAGATTCTAAGTTGCTATAAAACAGGGACTGTATCTTAGTCATTTCTGTAGTCACTGGACTTTATCTAGTGTTAGAGTCAGCCTTCTATAAATATTCAATTCAAGGATACAGAGTAAGAAACATGAGGAACACATTTGCTAGGGAAATTATTTACCATCAGTTAAAAGCAAAATTTTGGATAAGCTAAATAAACTTTCCTTATGAATGGTATCAGATAAAAAGGAAATTATCCAGGTAAAGAGTCAGCCTTCTATAAATATTCAATGCAAGGATACAGAGTAAGAAACATGAGGAACACATTTGCTAGGGAAATTATTTACCATCAGTTAAAAGCAAAATTTTGGATAAGCTAAATAAACTTTCCTTATGAATGGTATCAGTTAAAAAGGAAATTATCCAGGTAAAGACTGGCTCTCTTAAAAGCTTCATGACCAATAGCCATTCTTGCATTACCTGTGCAGGTGTGGGACTGGACAGCTGAGTGACAGAGCCCTAGGAAGAACAGAAATGACTTTTTCTCTTTCCTCTGAAATATCATAAGCTAAAAAACTACTCTGAGTAATGTGTGCATCAATTTTAGACATATTGCTGATTTTATTATGAAAATGAAGTGCTAAAGACAAAGGATATTTCCATTCCTGTGGACAGGCAGCCACAGACCAGCACTGCTTTACCCATGTGTATACACATGTGTGCTTTGTACCAGGTGAAGGCAGCTTTTCCTTCCCTCCAGTTTCATGTACACAACTCATCTTCTTTAAAGTTTCTTTGGATTTCATGCTCTGGCAATGAAGCTCATTTTCTTTACTCTTCATTCTCTGTCCTGATAAATTTCCATGTGTACAGATTTTGCCAGCTTTTTCAACTAGTTTATCTTTTGGGACTTTATTATTTGTTTCTGACAACACTGCAGATGAGTCTGGCTTCTGGCTAACTTTACACAAAAAATATACTGTAAATTCATGCTGAGATCTGGGCAGGTAGAGGTAAGCATGACCATCTAAAGATGTTATCTTCACGATGCCACTCTCCATACATATCATGCTACCATCTGTATCAAGACTGGGCCATCTCACTTCTGTGATGTCAATAAAGATATGCTGAAATGAGGGGGAAAAAGATGGTGAGTATTTTCTGTTAACAGTCCAATTTTTCCATACATTTGATATTCAAGTATTGTGTAAGGAAGCTCAAATATTTGTATTTTACTATCTAGAGAGAATGAAAAATTGGAGGGACAGATCTCAGCTTATATATAATTTTCCAGAGAATATTTGTTAAGATAATCTCCCTTAAAAAAAAAAGATGTAAAACACACATACACAAAATGAGAGAAATGATTATATTTAGTGTTAAATATATTTTGGTTTTAAATGAACAATGAATCAGAGATAAACAAATTTGCACCCCTCCCCCAACCCTGCAAAAGTTTAATCCGAGAAGGACTAGAAATAAGGGAAGACCAGCACTGTGATATACTATATTAAAAGAAATCATAGCTAAAAAATTGTTTTTAAGTGTTAAATAAAAATAAAAGCAATCATAGCTTAAATGGTATGGGACTAGCATAAAAATTATTGACAGAACTCAGAAAATTCAAAAACAAACTCAATCATATCTTAAAATGTTATATGTTATAACATAAGTTTTTCAGAGCAAGGGAGAAAAAAGAAAATTATTTAATAATTGCTACTAGAATTATTGAACAACATTTGGGAAATTCTGTCTTGGATGGTTACCACATGGACTAAATATGATAACATGTATAAAGAACCCAACCTGGGTAGTACCTGGCACACCATACACTAAAATAAATTCCAGGAGGCTTAAAGAGGAACATTTTAAAAAGTTTGATTGCTCAAAGAAAAATCGATCCTAATAACAGACTCGTAACAAGTAACAGTATTGGTGTGTCTTTTCATATGTTATAAACAGTATGTACTGCAAGAGAGTTTTTTACTAAATTAATTTTGCCAAGTGTTTAGCATTTCAATTCCATTTATGTAAAACTTATATTTACACAAACTATTGTCAAGAAAGCTTCCTAAATTTACCATGCTACCTATGTGTACAACGTTAGGACACTAAATTGAGGGCTATATTTATTGACAGCAAAGCTGAATCCTTTGTAAGGATGGTCATCAGTTAAAGTCCTCTTTTAGAGTTAGACTATGTAATAATCCTGCTGCAGCATCAGCAACAAGCTAAGCAGTTTCAGTGAATAAAGTGACTCAAAAGACACAACGGAAAATTACCCTTCTAGACTAAGTTACAACTTAAATTTTTTATGGCTCCTTTGCCACAATATAAAATTACTCAGCCAGCAGGCATCTTGACAGCATAGAAAGGTACCAGCAGAAAGTAGTTGAGAAACAAAGTTTATAGAGTCAGACAGACTAGGTTCAAATCCTGACTCTGCCACTTAGAAAATCACCATAGACAAATTTGGTAAACTCTCTGAGGCATAATTTCCTTGCCTATAAAAAGAGGCTGCCATCTATCCAATATACCTGTTTTAATTGGATGGACATCCATTTTGATTAGTATGGTGTTATTAAATATTTCCAATATTGTTCATAGTTGTTGGACATAGCAGACCCTCAGTAAATGACAGTTGTTATTATTATTCCTAAAAGTCCAAATAAAATACTATATAAGCAAAATAATAATAGATTGTACCCATAGTACACATCTTTACTATATATTAATAAATACCACACATTATTGAAAATAGTCACATAATTTCTTAATTTTGAGACCTCTGAGAATGAAAAAGTCATCAATCTAAAAAAATCTGATTATAATCCTTGGCTACAGAGAAAATGGCAAGGGGATAAACTATGTAACTTCTATGTGTCCTGAAAACTGTCCTGAAAAAGAAAAAAAAGGCCAAACATTAAATTACCTCTTTCTAGTTACTTGTCCTCAAATAATACCAATAAAAATGAAGTTAAAAAAATCACCTTTTTTCTTTCAGAAGGTATGATGGTTTCAGATAAAAAAGGGCAAGTAGCTGAAGAATTTCGAAAATCTAGGGCTCGCCGTAGTTTGTCCTATGGAAAAAAAGATAAAATACAACCTTAACATAAAATGATTTGAAAATCAATTAAAAATGACAGTAAATTATAATCCATAATACTTATTTTCATATTCCAGCCACATGAACAATATTTTGGTATTCAAGAGTAGTTTCGGCCAGGTACAGTGGTTCACACATGTAATCCTGGCATGTTGGGAAGGAAAATTACTTGAGGCCAGGAGTGTGAGACCAGTCTGTGCAATATAGCTAGACATTGCTCTACAAAAAATTAAAAAGTTAGCCAAATGTGGTAGTGCATGCCTGTAGTCCTAGAGTAACTCCCTTATAAAAGGAGGTTGAGGCAGGAGAATCACTTGAGCCTAGGTGTTCGAGGCTGCAGTGAGCTATGATAGTGCCACTGCACTCCAGCCTAAGTGACGGAGCAAGAACCTGTATCTAAAAAAGAAAAAAGTCATTTTTGTGATATCTTTACTTACTCTGTAAGTGCTAACGACAAAATGTGTCCTTTGACGAATTCTTTCTGGTTGTTCTAAAGGATGTGCTGAAACAGGAGGTGACTTTTCAAATAAAAATTCAGAGCCGCAGGGAGAAAGTTGCAATTTGGAACCATCAACATATTGTACTTGTACTGAATCATCTTCATAAAGTACCATTCGTAGTTCAGCTGCCATTACTATGACAGGCTAAGATGTTTTTCTAAGTCAAAGACTGAATGAAATAGGAAACACAATAGCACAAATAGTTATCTTAATGTACAAAAGTTGTATCAAAATAAATGGGTACATTTTCTAAGAAGAGGACATTGCCATTGCATTTACTTTTGTTGGAAGAAAAGTGATCTTACTAGCTATACTTAAAAGATCTGAAATGAACATTCTTAACAAAATGCCTTAATTAACCCCTAGAAGTTTACTCCAATGGAGGAACATAACCAAGAAGAGAAAACAGCCCCCAACGTTATAACTGTCTTTAGAATTTTAATAGCTTCATTTCTACTGACATTTAATTTCTGTAAATTATAGGCTCATTATTTAGAAGTTTATAATTTCTAGAAGTTTACTCCAATGCAGGAACATAACCAAGAAGAAATTTAATTTCTATAAATTATATGCTCATTCTCTCATTTCAAATTTCAAATAATAAGCAAATTACACCTTTGCAGTAAGAATGCAGCAAATTGTTTGCAATACAAATTCAAAAGGCAGGCAAAGGTAACTATTAGGCCTATGGAAAAAGAACCCTGAAAAAGAAATCCAAATACCTGCAAATCCTGTCCCCACACTGGCATTAAGGAAGTAGCTCTTTATTACTACTGTGCAACTTAATCTCCTATTGTCTTGGATTCATCCTCATTTCACTGCATTCAATTTCCACTTCTCTACCTCTAAAATACTCTTTCTTCACCTGAGCTCTCAATATAGTGGTGACAGAAGGGGAATTAAAGAGTTGGGTTTCATTCACACCTTACCACTCACTAGCTAGCTATAAGCCTCAGGTTGTCCTCATTTGTAAAATAGGAGTAGTAACAGGATTGTTGTGTGGATGAAATGAGAAAACAAATATGACAGGGACTAGCAATGTGGATGCTGCCTTGCAGGCACTCAGTCAATCTTAAGAAATGTTTTTAATACTTTCTAACACTAACCGCATCCCTTTCTACATTATCCCCTTCTATTACTCAGATAATTGAATTTTACCTGCCAGAAAAAAATAACTTTCTATAGATAACACTTCCACTACTTTATCCCTACTTCTTACCATTAAACAGCTCAAGTGTAGTATTCACTCACTACCAACCTTCTCTCCTATCAGTCTTCAGTCCACTGCAATCAAGCTTTCACCTCTACCAACACTGTTTTACAATGGTCACCAATCTCTTCTTACACCCAATGACTTTAGTTTTCATCCTGCTAAACCTCATCAATGTGTAACAGCATTGTCGACATTCCCTTGCACCAAACTCTCTTTTCCCCTACTTCCCCCACCCCCTCCCACATTGAGCTGCCAGTTTTCTTCTTCACTTCTACCTTTCTTTAATCATTCTTCTTCACCATTCCCTTAAATCAAGGATTCTTCAAGACCCGATTTTAGTTCCCGTTTCATCCCTTCATAACATAAACACTCACATCACTTATATGCCCTACCTTGTCTTTTTTAACCTTATCCCCTTTCAATTTACGTAATTGGCTGTAGGTGATAGCATCTGGAATCTTCTGTGGATATGTCAGGATATAAGTAAATACTTAACCACATGGTCTCTCCTGAGAAGATTCACACGACTTTTAATTATTTTCTCTAGAGAATTTCTAAATCTACCTGACCTCTTACAGAGCTTTCAGGTGGCTGCCTGCTAGACTGCTCTATGTCCCTGTCCCATAAATAAACCAAACTCAACTAAAATGGAACTTAATCACTCCTACCAATAGCAGACTTCTGTAATATCCCCTAATCTCACTTTCACTCTCATCTCTTCCCTCAAATCCAGTCTGCATACAGTAGTAGCCAGATGGATTTTTTTAAATAAAAATCACATCTATCACTTCATGGCTTAAACCCCACCAATACCTTCCATTTCCACTTAGAATAAAATCCAAACTCCTGAACTACTGCCTACAAAGGCCACACAGTCTGGTCCTATCTACCTCTCCAAATGTCATCTCTCAACTCTCTCCTACTTCTTCAGGGCACTTTAGATACACTGGCATTTTTAATGTTCTTTAAATAAGCTCTTTTCCATCTTAGAATCTTTGCACTGTTCTTTCAGCCTGTCTTGTCTTTTCCTTGGCTCATCACAAGTCTGGTTCTTTACTATCATCCAGGTCTCAGCACAAATGTAATCCCTGCAAGGGCCTAACAACCAACTAAGTTAAAGATGCTCCCAAACATCTCCCGATCATTTGTCATCTCTCTTCAATTTTTTTCTTCATAGAATCTATCATCAAAATTAATTATTACTTGCTTTTTGTTTTCTCCCACTAGGATATAAACTCAACCAAAGCAGGGACTTTGTCTTCAACAGTATCTCTGGCATCCAAAATATTATTAGGCAAATAGTAAGGGCACAATTAATATTTGAATGATGAAAAATAAGTAAAATTTTTAAGAAGTATATTGCTTCTCCTGAATTTGCAATTTGAATTCATGGCGTCTGGTTGTTAGTAGCCAATATTCTAAAATTTGACTTTCCACTGTGTTTCCTCCATGCCCCTGTAACAAGTCCTGCTGATTTTCTAAGTCTCTCTTTGGAACCTGGCTCTCTTTACCTCCTTTTCTATTTCAGGCCATGGACTCTCCCCTCCACGCCTGCAACTGTCTGGAATTTCTTCTCTCTCCAATCCATCTCTAGTATTGATGTCATAGGTAACTTTTCACAAATCAGACTATACCAACTGCTTTACATCACTTGTTTATGTACTTATCAAATGGCAATATATATTACAGATATATATACACACACAGGTATATATCAGATACGTCTACTTGGTATTTCTATTTGTTATTTTCAGGGGAAAAAAACGGGTGCTGATACACAGGTGGAAAACATTTCCTGATTCCAATTTGAGGGGAAAAAGTTTATCTCTGGCCAAGTCTTTTTTTTAATAGCTTTATTGAGGAAGTTTTCTACGTTTAAATAATCAGGCATACACAAAGAAACAGTGTAATGTCTAAGGTTCTTGGCACACCATAGGAAAACGTAACCCCGCTCCGACCCATACCGCCATTCTCATCTCTACTGTCTCATTCCCTCTTGCGTTCTCACCACTTAGCACATTACGTCAGGGTATGTTTAACACTCAAAGCCACAAGTCTGTTCTTGACATGAATGAGAACCTCATTTTTTTCAAAATGCTATAGTCTCTAGTTACAGAAAGAGCCTTACCAAAACAACCACCAACGTCTTGCACTCACAGCAGTTCGGAGCCGAAAAGTTGTGTAAATGATGCCAGCAACGGTCCCTGGCTTTTATTTGCCAAAATGCTCCGGAAGCAGCAACGTCGGGGCCTGCCCACGACTGCTTCTCCAGGGATTTCTTGAGTTTGACAAGTTACCAGTAAGTGATATTTCTTGATGAAGGAAAAAAAAATCACAACCCTAGAGGAATAAGGTCGCAGGGAGAGTGTTTTGACCAAGACGCCCTCCAGGCAGCAGGAAAACGGAGACAAAATCAACTGTAACCACTAAAGAGTCAACTGTAACCACTAAAAGACAAAACGAAAACAAAACAGGAGCGATTCAAAACTCCCCGCTCTCTCCGGGAGCCGCGTCACAGCTCCGCAACAAGGAAGACCGGAAGTCCCGCCCTCCACTCCGGGGGCTGCCCTCGCTGCTCTCCGTGCGAAGGGCGAAGCACTACGAGGTGTAGGGAGGGGAGGGCTGGTTCCTTGTCCGGAATTCGGCCAGCTCCTCTTTGATTTTTACTTCCGGTGCTCCACGCAAAAGCGGCCCTGCCTGGTTGTATTAATAATAAAGGCTGCTGAGGATCGGCCTTTTACACATTCCAGCCGGGAACTAACCACAGAGCGCATTTTAGTGGAGTGGTACTTATTTTTAATAATTTATTACAATCATTTATTACAGTTTGTTTCTAAGATAAAATGCAGAGGTTTGTGAGGGCACAGACAGGCATACCTTGTTTTATTATGCATTTTATTGTGCTTTGCAGATACTGAGTTTGCTACAAATGGAATGTCTGAAGCAACCTTGATGGAGCAAGTGTATGGGTGCCATTTTTTCCCAACATCATGTGCTCACTTTGTGTCTCTTTGACACATTTCGGTAATTCCCACAGTATTTCAAACTTCTTCATTATTTTTGTATCTGTTAGGGTGATCTGTATGATCACTGATCTTTGATGTTACTATTGTAATTGTTTTGGGGCACCACAGATCATGCCCATATGATATAAAATGGCAAACTGAATCTGTCACAGGTAGTTAGGCATGAGCAGGGCAGGAGAAGGCTCTCCCCTCTCAACCCACCCACTAAAAATGTTGGGTGATGGTTTGGCAATTATCACATTGCCTCTCTAAAAATGATAATTTGGCAGTGCCAGGGAGAGGCCATTTCCTGATGGTCCACACCTGGTAGCATCAAAATGTTAATTGAATACAGGCCCTAGAGAGAAGCAACTACCTGGGCATGTGTGTTAAGAGAAAACAATGATAAAGTATGACCTTTCTGGTACACTCCACTGGAAAAAGGAAGAAAGCTTCAGATGGGCATGTGTATAACCCCATAAACACACTGTGTGCTCACTTCTCAAGGGTAAGGAAGGCTCTGAGCATGTGAAAGCCCACCCTAACAGAATAATCATGGGAAAGAGGCAAGCTTATAAAAGTCCTAGGATCATGGTTAAATGGGGCACTTGACCTTCTCTCTTTAAACTTCACATGCCTACTTGGGTCTCTTCTATGCGCACCTTCCTTTCCTGTCCTAAGGTTTTTTTTAAAAAATAAACTTTCAATTCCTGCTCTGGAACTTACCTTGGTCTCTTTTTCTGCTTTATGCCCCTCAGTCAAATTCTATCTTCTGAGGAGGCCAGGACTGAAGTTGCCATGGACCCATAAGGATAGGCTGCCAGTAACTTGCAGTAACTCAGATCTCTTCCACCATTAACAAGTTGATCAATACATACTGCGTGTGTCTGGCTGCTCTACTCACTGGCCGCTCTCATCTCTCTCCCTCTCCCGGAGTCTCCCTATTCCTTGAGACACAACAATATTGAAATTAGGCCAATTAATATCCATACAGTGGCCTCTAAGTGTCCAAGTAAAAGAGTTGTATGTCTCTCACTTTAAAAGCTAGAAATGAATAAGCCTATAAGGAAGGCATGTTGAAAGCCAAGATAGGCTGAAAGCTAAGCCTCTTGTGTCGAACAGCCAAGTTGTGAATAAAAAGAAAAAATTCTTGAAGGAAATTAAAAGTACTCCTCCAGTGAACACATGAATAATAAGAAAAATCCAAACAGCTTTAGTGCTGATATGGAGAAAGTTTGAATGGTCTGGATAGAAGATCAAACCAGCCACAACATTCCCTTAAACCAAAGCCTAATCCAGAACAAGACCCTAACTCTCTTCAGTTCTGTGAAGGCTGAGAAAGGTGAGGAAGTTGAAGAAAAGTTTGAAACTATCAGTGGTTGGTTCATGAAGTTTAAGGAAAGAAGCCATCTCTGTAACAAAAAAGGGCAAGGTGAAGCAGCAGGTGCTGATGTAGAAGCTGCAAGTTATCCGGAAGATCTAACAAAGATCACTGATGAAGGTAGCCAAACTAAACAGCAGATTTTTAATGCAGATGCAACAGCCTTCTAGTGGAAGATGCCATTTAGGACTTTCATAGCCAGAGAGAAATCAGTGCCTGGTTTCAAAGCTTCAAAGGACAGGCCGATTGTCTTGTGAAGGTCTGATGTAGCTGGTGACTTAAAGTTGAAACCAATGCTCATTTCCCATTTCAAAATCCTAGGTTCCTTAAGAATTATGTTAAATCTACTCTGCCTGTGCTCTGGAAACAACAGAGCCTGGATGACAGCACATCTGTTTACAGTATGATTTGCTGAATATTTTAAGCCCATTGTTGAGAACCACACTCAGAAAAATATATTTCTTTTAAAATATTACTTGTTGACAATGCACTTCGTCACCTAAGAGCTCTGATGAAGATGTACAAGGAGATTAGTTTTCATGCCTGCTAACACAGCATCCATTCTGCAGGCCATGGGTCAATAAGTAATTTTGATTTTCAAGTCTTATGAAGAAATGCATTTCATGAGGCTATAGCTGCCATAGAAAGTGGTTTTTCTAATGGATCTGGGCAAAGTCAATTGAAAACCTTCAGGAAATGATTCACCATTCTAGATGTCATTAAAAACATTTGTGCTTCTTGGGAAGAGGTCAAAATATCAACATTAAGAGAAGTTTGAAAGAAGTTGATTCTAATCCTCATGGTTGAGTTTGAAGGGTTCAGGTCTTTAGTGAAGGAAGTGACTGCAGATGTGATGGAAACAGCAAGAGAACTAGAATGAGAAGTGGAGCCTGAAGATGTGACTGAATTGCTGCCGTCTCCTGATGAACCTTGAATGGATAAGTTGCTTCTTATGGATTAGTAAAGAAAGTAATTTCTTGAATGGAAACCACTCCTAGTGAAGATGCTGAATATTGTTGAAAAAACAACAAAGGATTTTGAATATTACATAAACTTTGTTGATAAAACAACAGCAGGGTTTAAGATGACTGACTCAAATTTTTAAAGAAGTCTACTGTGCATAAAATGCTATCACACAGCACTGCATAATAAATAAATCTTTATTGAAAGGAAGAGACAAACCTCATTGTTGCCGTATTTTAAGAAATTGCCACAGCTATCCCAGTCTTCAGCAACCACCACCCAAATCAGTCAACAGCCATCAACACTGGGGTAAGACCCTTCACCAGCAAAAAGATTATGATTCACTGAAGACTCATCATTTTTATTTTCTAGCAATAAAGAATTTTTAAATTAAGTTATGGACATTTGAAAAATATGCTATTGCACACTTAATAACCTACTGTATAGTATAAATGTAACTTTTATATGTACTGGGAAACCAAAGAATTCCCAACTTACTTTATTGCAATATTTGCTTTATTGTGGTGGTCTGGAATGGAACTCGCAGTATTTCCATGGTATATCTGTAATGAGCAGATTTAACCTACGCTGAGAAAATATTTCCACTGAAATTTGAAGTTTAAGTACATGTTAGCCAGGTAAGGTAGGGGGAAAAGTATTTCAAGCAGAGGTTAAGGTCCCTGTGTTAAAGCTGTGAGGCCCAAGGGAAAGAGCGTGCTCTTTAAAAGGACTGAAATAAAGCAGGCGTGGTTTAAGCATGGTTAGGGAGGAAAGAAGCCTGAAGGGAAAGGAATCCTGGAGTGGGGTACAGAGGTGGGCAGACAGAGTACAGAATATTAGGGATTTAGGGACTCAAGATTTATATTCTCTGACACCAATCAGGAAAAAAAGAGGTCTCTATTTTTGTCCAAGTGTTTTTTTTTCTTTTCTTTATTGAGGTATAATTGTTTATTACAAGGTGTTTAAGTAGGCCAGGCATTGTGGCTCACACCTGTAATCCTAGTACTTTGGGAGGCCGAAGTGGACAGATCACCCAAGGTCAGTAGTTTGAGACCAGCTTGGCCAACATGGTGAAACCCCATCTCTACCAAAAAAGACAAAAATTAGCCGGACATGGTAGCAGGCACCTGTAATCCCAGTGACTCAGGAGACTGAGGCAGGAGAATTGCTTGAACCTGGGAGGTGGAGGTTGCAGTGGGCCAAGATTGTGTTACTGCACTCCAGCCTGGGTAACAGAACAAGTCTGTCTCAAAACAAACAAACAAGCAAACATCCAAAAATCCAAACACACACACAGACACAAACATGGTGTTTAAGCAAACATGGCAGCACCATGGGGAGCAATCTAACCCCCTAATTTATCTTCATTTTAAAAAGGCTGGTATGTATATTAATATCAATCTTACATTAAGCATAAAGGCATCCTCAGATGATCACATTTGCATTGACCTGTAACATCAGTTTGTATTATATAATGCTAACTTAGGTCCCATCTCACCCCCATCTTTTACCTTCCAATGTCTAAAAACCTCCTATATAGAAATCCTGTCTACTACAGAGTTTTACATTACATTCTTGGAACTGCTAAGTGGAGAAAGGATTGTAGGATGCAAGAGTTGATATGGATAACTCAGGAGAAGGATTTTGAAAAAGCAACAGTAGAGATCATGGCAGCTCAGATGCAGCACCTGAGCAGTGAAGATGACAAGCACAGCTCCAAAAACTATTTAGGAGATTGACTTTATACTTGGTGATTGAACCTGTGGGTAAGGGAGGGGTGAATCATAAGCAATGCCAGGGTTTCTAGTTGGGACAAGTGGATTGGTGGCAGTGCTACTAATGAGAGGGGGATAAGAGGAAGAGCAAATTTAGTGATAGCATGAATTTTGTTAGTCCACCTGGTGCAAATGGTAAATCAGTAAAGGTCTGCAATCAGGAGATAGAAACAAATCTGGAGGAACGATCCAAGATGGCCGATTGCTAACATCCCGGGATTGCAGCTCTCAGGGAAGGCGCGGAGAACTAGAGGACGCCACACTTTCAGACAAATACTGGTCGCTCACAGAGCAGAAGATCCCCCAGTGGAGGAAACACACGGGTGGCCAGCGCAACTCTCGTGGCCGGCGCAGTGGTTCCTCCGGCACCTCGGCGCAGCAGCTCTCTGAGCAGAGTAAACAGGTTCGGAGGACCCGCACAGGTCCCCAGCAGGACACCAGAGCCTGGCGCAGCAGCTGTGATGGCACCTCGGCGCGGCAGCGCTCGGCGCAGAGGAAACGAGACTGGTTCCCCTTCTGACCGAGGTTTGGAGCCCTGGGAAGGCAGAGTCGCCTACTACAGACACAAGAAGGAAGCCCGACAGGAGAATCCTGGGCAGAAAAGCACCATCAGTTTTAACGCTGCTGCTCTGGCCCTGGGAACTAACAACCTGGACGTCCACTCGAGAGACCTAATCTGAAAGTTGGTAATTTCAAAGACGACAGGAGGATAAATTTACAATGACGGGAAGAAACCAGCGTAAAAAAGCTGAGAATACTCAAAGTCAGAACGCCTCTCCCTCCAAAGATGATCACAGTTCCACATCAACAATGGAACAAGGCTTGATGGAGAACGAGCGCATCCTGATGACAGAATCACTCTTCAAGGAATGGATAATAACAAACTTCGGTGAGTTAAAAGACCATGTTGTAGCCCAACGTAAAGAAACTAGGAACTTTGAAAAAAGGTTTGATGAAATCCTATTGAGAATAGACAACTTAGAGAGGAGTATGAGTGAATTAATGGAACTGAAGAATACAATACAGGAACTCCGAGAAGTATGCACAGGTTTAAACACTCGAATTGTTCAAGCAGAAGAAGGGATATCAGAGGTCAAAGTCCAACTTAATGAAATAAAACGTGAAGAAAAGCTTAGAGAAAAAAGGATAAAAAGGAATGAGCAAAGTCTCCAAGAAATGTGGGACTATGTGAAAAGACCAAATTTACGTTTGACAGGTGTATCTGAATGCGACGGAGAGAATGAATCCAAGCTGGAAAATACCCTTCAGGATATTATTCAGGAAAATTTTCCTAAACTAGCAAAGCAGGTCAACATTCAACCCCAGGTAATACAGAGAACACCACAAAGATATTCCTCAAGAAGAGCAACCCCAAGGCACATAATCGTTAGATTCACCAGGGTTGAAATGAAGGAGAAAATACTAAGGGCAGCCAGAGAGAAAGGTTAGGTTACCCACAAAGGCAAGCCTATCAGACTTAAAGCAGATCTCTCAGCAGAAACCCTACAAGCCAGAAGAGAGTGGGGACCAATATTCAACATCCTCAAAGAACAGAACCTTCAGCCCAGAATTTCATATCCAGCCAAACTAAGCTTCACAATTGAAGGAAAAATAAAATCTTTTATGAACAAGCAAGAACTCAGAGATTTTATTACCACCAGGCCTGCTTTACAAGAGCTTCTGAAAGAAGCATAACACACAGAAAGAAACAACCAGTATTAGCCTTTCTAAAAATATACCAAAAAGTAAAGAGCACCAACATAAAGAAGAATTTACACCAACAAATGGATAAAACAGCCAGTCAACATCAAAGGGCAGTAACCCTAAATTTAAATTGACTAAATCCCCCAATCAAAAGACACAGCCAAAACCCAATGGCATGTTTTTTGTGTATCCAGAACTGTTTCACATGCAAGGATACACAAAGACTCAAAGGGATGGAGAAAGATTTACCAACCAAATGGAGAACAAAAATAAATAATAAATAAATAAAAAGCAGGAGTTGCAATTCTTGTTATCGGATAAAATAGATTTTAAAGCAACAAAGATATAGTGGTAAAAGGATCAATGCAACAACAAGAGCTAACGATCCTAACACCCAGATACATAGAGACTTGGATTCAATGAGACAGAAAATTAATAAGGATATCAAGGACTCAAACTCAGATCCGGAACAAGTAAACTTAATAAATATTTATAGAGCTCTCCACTTCAAATACACAAAATATACATTCTTGTCAATACCACATCACACCTACTCATAGGTTTAAATGAAACATTGATTGGCCATCATTAATACCGAATTTTTTTCAAAATAAAGCATTATTTCCATTTACTCTCCCTCTGTCTTCCTCTCCTTTACTTATTATTTTTTTCTTTCCTTCTCTCAAAAAAAAAAAATCAACTTGTGAACCCCTAGATCCAGGTCGGCAATGTCTCTCATTGCTTGATTTCCTTCCTTCCCTTCCCTCCCTCCCTCCCCACTTCCTCCCTTCCTTCCTTCCTTCCTTCATCCCTTCCTTCCTCCCTATCGTCCTTCTTCCCTCCCTTCCTGACTTCCTCCCCCCCCCAAAAAAAAAAAAAAAAAGAAATCTGGAGGCCACTGGCTGATAGCTGCTAACTGAAGCTACAGGAGAGGATGAAATAGTTCAAGAATATCGTGACACGAGAAAAGAACTTAGGACTGAACTTTGAAGAACGCTATTATGTACAGAATAGGTAAAGGAAAAGAAGCCCACAAAAGCAGTGAGGAAGAACAGCATAAAGATTGAAAGTAAGTTAACTGTGTCCTAGATGCCTAGAGGTTTTCAATTTTAGTGTCACTTAACAATGTCACATATTGCCATAGGAAAAGCTAAGAACGAAGTCTCTCCAGGACTTAGGGACATAGAGGTCACTGGTGACTCTAGTGAAGGCCACTGTATACAGTGGGGGCAGTTGCCATAGTGGGTTTTAAGCGCAAATAGGAGGTAAGGACATGGAAAACATGGCAAAGCATTTGAGAAGTCTGACTGTAAAGCAAAGATAGGACTGTGATTGGAGAGAAATATGAGAAGCAGATTTATTCTGATGAGAATGGCATGTTCAACGGTCCGTGCAAAGAGCAAAAGTATAGAGGAAAAATACAGACCAAGTAACAATAGACTCCATGAGAGAATGAGAGGAGACAGGATTCCAGCACATGTTAAGTAACTGGTCTTTAATAAGAGAAGGGATTTTTCCTGTATAGGAAGAGGAGGGATGAAGTGAATGCAGATGCATTTGTGTATCATGTTTCAGTTAGGGGGTAAAAGGGCCTTTAGAGTGAAGGTTTGAAATAGTTCCAGAAAGATAGAGGAGAAACACATTGATTTTTGTCAGCACTGACAGCCTAACTGAATGTGCTAAGCATGAATTTACAGTGATAAAAACCAGAAACATGACCTCCAGCTGCAAGAATGCAGAAGCAGTGTTGGGTTTATTCAGGGTTGGTGTTTTGCCAGGCTAACACAATAGAGCAGCAGCATACATGAGTTTAAATTATTTATATCTGCTGAAGTTTAATCAGCCAAAGACCACTAGGCTCACGCCTGTCTTCTGACAAAACTGTTTACTGATTTGCAAGCAAGGGAAACACAAACAGCGAAGATGGTGCATTCCACAAGAAAGCAAGGTTTAGTAAGGTTTGAATTCCTACTGTAGGGTTCTGAGCAAGCTCTAAGGAAAGGGAGACCAGTTCTGGGTTGGACCCTATTTCTGCAGCAAGCTTAGAAGTGAGAATGAAGTAGGGATTGGTGCTGCATTAGATGAGGGCAGTTTAGCAAGTAGACAATCCCATTAATAGATGAGTATAGCAAAGCAGGTCTAAGGGTGTCACAGGTGACAAAGCAGTGGTCACACAAGGAGGGAGTCATGATGGTATTTTATAGCTGCTGCAGGACCTAATAGTTTCCTGTTAACTTTGCAGCTGTCTTTGTCTGTCCCTCTAACCTGACAGTGGTTGAGCTGCTTTTGTTTGAGCCACTTTGAGTCCTAGTTTACTTTCATGCCAAACACCCTCCTCTCATTACATGTGATTTTTCTCCCTTAAGTACAACTTAATCCATATTCATCTGTCCTCCCTAAAGATTTAATGAAGTACCTAATTATAGAATTAAGCTTGCTTTCTAACAAGACCCAGCCTAGAGTGAACCTCATTTCTTAGACCATCCCCCAAATTACCCAACCAAAGCCCAAATCCTATCATAGGTTCTAACACACTCTTACTGATGTACCCCATAACTCCAAGGTGTGTGTTCTCCTTCACTGCAACAGTAAGCTCAACATGTGTGTACAGGTGTGTTCCTGGTAATCTATGTCTATAAAGACAGAGGGTCAGAGCTGATGACACAACTTCTAGGTTAAGACCAATATTTGTGTTTTGTTGCCAGAACACAAGACTATGATATTTACTGGCACCTGTATCTTTGCTCACTGGAGAATGATCTTTCCTCAAGACTTGCTGACATGTTTCTGTTGAAGGCATGGCAATCCTAAAGGCCAAAACTTGTGGAAAGGGGCAACTCTTCCTTTCATTATGTACTTGTGTGGTCAATTATGCAAAGTCTGGTCAACCAAAGATCACCAGGCTCAAGCCATCAGTTTTAAAATATGGCCACATGCTACTTGATGGGCTCCTATCTGAATATGGTTTTGGTAACTCCCTCAGAACCAACAGAATATAGAAGTTAATGCTGTATGACTTCCAAATGCAGCTTGTTTCTGAGTCTTTTGAAATGGCCCCTCAGAATTCAGCCAACATGCTGAGAGAAGTCCAAGCTACATGGGCAAGTGAAGTGTAGATGGTTCTGGTGAACCATTTCAATCTAGTCTTGGCTTTAAGTCATCTCAGTACCATGACTTCAGATGATTATAGCTACCAGATGTTCAAATTACCCACAGCCCTATTTTCCTTGACTAGGCCTCAGACATCACAGACTAGAGAAAAGCGATCTCCATTGTGCCCTCTCCAAGTTCCTGAACCACAGAGTCCATGAGCATAATTAAAATGATTGTTTTAATACACTAGGGTTCTGTGCTTTTTTATCAAGAATCACTAATACTGGGAA